AGGTTGGCGGTTAGGCATTGGTTCAAATTGGTTGGTGGAGGGGTAAGTGCCTACCCCTCCAATGGTGGTGCGGAAAGGGAATTCCGTTAAAGGAATCCAGGGGCTTGCCTTCTTTTCGTCCTTGTCCCTGGCATCGGACTTGGGACAGGCATGCCACCAGGAGCATGAGGGTGAGAAGTGAGGGGCTGATTCCCAGCTTCATTTCTCCCCAAAATTGTTTCCCTGACTGGCTTCCGCTGGAATCCGGAAGTCAGTTCTGTCCCTGGGCAAGGACAGATAGTCGGAACCAATGCCTAAGCAACCACTCACATGTGTGTATTTAAATAAAGTTGTGGCCAAAATCATGCCAAAAACCTAAACAAAAATTGATGTGTGAATTATTGCGGGGTGGCTTGGGGACCTTGACACACAATATTGTTGCCAGATGGACCATTGGTGTGAGGAAGGGTAAGGCAGCTTTTCATGACCCTACTAGAAGCCTCTTGGGTGTGTTCCCCAGATGTTTCTCTCCTAGCTTGTTGTTCTCCTAGCTTCCTCGCTAGGAGAGGAGCAGCAATAAGCTAGAGGCATTGAATGCTCTGCACATATTCAAACCAGTTTCTTCTCTTGCTGCACTCCCAAAAAAAAAAGAAAAAGAAAAAGAAAAGAAAAAGAAAAAGAAAAAACAAGGAAGGGGGACTTTGGGGTGTTATGTTTTCTGTGGTGCACTGATTTGCTGGTAAACCCATGTTTTGAAATTATTATTTAGGATATTCCCATAATTTTACACAACAGGCATCTGATCTTCTCAGCAGCTGAAAGCAGCACCATTGCGCATGGCGGCCACAGAATTTGGCCCATAATTAGGAATTGGATGTATTGGATATTTAATATCATTCTTTTGGCCTTCTAGATGGTGAACATTACAAAATGGTGCATGCGTATTAATAGGCATGCATGTGGTTTGCATATCATGGGACTGTATTGTGAAATAGGTAGCAGAAGGCAGGGAGAATCTTTATGTGAAGTTATTAGGCATGTACAGAAGATGCTTTTAAAATCTTGCTGCTGCTGCTGCTGCTGCTATTTTGCATCACAGCAATTTTTTGGGAAAACTGTTAAAAAGCTGCATGATGGATTTAAAAGATTGCAAAATTGAATGTTCATAGGGCCTTTCCTGATTTGATCATATTCATGGTGACATGAAACATATTTTGCAATTGTTTTGTTGTTGTTTTTTTAAAAAACTTAACAGAAGAAAGAGAATGAGGGGAAATCATTTTACGCTGATTGGAAATATTACAGTTCGTAGCATGGCAATTTATTACTATGTAACGCTGTCCTAGAGTTTTGAATGTTCACTGGTTTTTGCGTGTGTGACACTTAAAACAGGGTCTCGCTGTTCAGGGATCTGTAACTCGGTATTTGTAGCACACGGAACATACAAAATCTGTTAAAGGGCTATGAACTGGCCTCAGGACCTTGCAAAAATGCATCCTTTTTTTTCATACCACAAAATAAGGGTCACAACTCTGTTTCATAGAAAGTAAAACCTAACAAAGATTAAAGTATTCAGCAATAGATGGAAACACTTATTCAATAGGCTTTGAATATATGGCTTGTGGGGGGCCACTCGCCACACAAGTTTAAAACCTTGCCCCCATTGAGATGTAGTTCTTTTTACACACAAGCCTAATTTAGATTACGAGCTAATGGCCTGTATCTTCTTATGGCAGTAAAAAAAGTAGATTTCTAGCTGCTACTAGAGGCATATAAAATAGTGGCTTAAATTGATTTTTTAAAGCACATTTCCTCTTTTCTTTTTAAATACCCAAACAGTTAAAAAAAAAGAATTTTGTATTAATAATAGGACCAAGATCAAGGAACAGTAATGTCAAAACTGGGCCCACTGTGAATTAAAGGAGATGAGTCATTAAACCTTTTTGTTGAGAAAGCGGGGTGGTTGGGAATGGGGGGGGGGGGGCAAGAGAGAATAAAGTCATATGGAAATGCTGACGCAGACCCATAACAATAGCAGTTCTGCCAGGGATTACTTTAATTCAAAAAGCAAATTGTGCTGTTGTGTTTTTAGTTCGAGTGGGGAAAGTCGCAAGAGGAACAATGTTGCATGAGGAATTTTTTTTATATATTTTAAAAAGAATACTTTATTTCCCATGTCAAGCAATACATTTAAATATCGATTATGCATATGACTTCCTGGAGATGTGCTCCTCCAGAAAAAATAAGGTGGAGTTTGCCAGAGGCACTCTGGCATGCTTTTGCTGAAGGGGGGGGGGGGCGCAGGACGAGATTGCTGGCTCCATTTAACCATTTCTTGCCCGCTGTTGTTAATGATGATAACATGACAAAAAATGGGGGGGGGGGGGGACTGTTAGTTCTGGAAAAGCAGCTACCAGCAAAAGAAAGAGAACGCAGAGTGCAAAAAGAGAAGGAATAAAGAGGCAGATATAAATAGTGGAAGGATAATCTGGAGTAGGGAGAATATTTCTTTAATCGGTGTTGTTGTTTTTTAAGGCAAGCAATTAGAAAAGCAGATAAGTGAAAATACTTTGCCTGTTCTGTAATATAAACTGGGGTGGGCTATAATGAAATCATGCAAAGAAAGGGTGGCAATATCAGTGTGCATCTGGAAGCAGAACCCACCATGTAATTCTAAGTTGATTCTTTCTGCTTTTCTTTCTCTCTCTCTCTTTTTGTCTCTTCCATAATATATCAAAATCACCGAGACTGCCCTCCTGAAATCATTGCCCTTCCTTCCAAACAGACATGTATAGAACTGCACGGCAAAGAAAGAAACTGAAATTGTTTCATGCACCAAGTCCAAGTCAAGCACAGATGGATTCAAATTCAGAGAGGTAATTTTTGGAACATGAACGCACTCACACACGATGCCCAGTCGTGCTAGGGTCAGAGACTAGTTCAGCTGCCTCACACCTGAGCCAGAGTTGCTTAAGTTAGGAGTGGCCAGACACTTCTCCCGATTCCCACTTTTTCGTGGAGAGCAGCTCCTCTCTTCAAAGCCCCCAAGTGTGCTTATGGCATTCTGATCAATACGACAAAAACCCTTTCTTCAATAAACACCAGCTTATTATCAAGCGGAAAGCGGATATACCTGTGGATAGGGATAAAAGTGAAATGTTGACATTTCTGCCTGTTCGACAAAACTCACAGAACTGCACCTACTGCATCTGAAACGCTGGTGTGGATTCTCTCTCTCTCTCTCTCTTCCCCCCCCCCCCATCAGCCTAACCTTCTGTGTTGATACATGAATGCTGGTACCCACTTACAGGGATGCCAGATGATCAGTGCAGAATGAAGGTCCCAGGAGAAAAGATCACATGGTTTTCTCTGCCCTGTGACGTCACCAGCAGATGGCATGGGTACCAGCTCTGGCAGTTGGCATCAATGTCACTTTTTAGAGATCAATGAGATAGTGCAGATATACACAGATCTAGACTCCAGGAGACGATGCGACAGACAGATTGAAAAAGATTTGGAAGGCAAAAATGAAAACTGGCTATTGAAAGACTTTTTTTAAGGCCAAGGTAATGCAAATTCATTTATAATACCGATATAATATTTAACTGCAGCTGCTGAGTGTGCATGCAAGTATGTGAAAGGCACAGGTTACAAAGCTTTGTGTTTTATGAATTCTGTGCTTCCTTCTTCTCCATCTCTTTCAGTGCTTCTTAAATGTTGTTGCATACTTTCACCGATTATGTAATACCGTAAGCGGGCTATGGACAATACTCAGAGAGTTACATCTTTTGATAAGGGGCTTAGTTTTGTTTTGTTTTGTTTTGTTTGGGTTTGTTTGTTTGTTTTTAAAAAATGTGCATGTTCAAAACTCCCTCACCACCTTGTTTGCAAATTTGCATTTGCGTATTTGTTGGCCAGTTTGAAAATCCTGATATATGCTGCTTGAAAAGTGAGTACAGGGGCAGGAACAATACAAGGAGAAGCAAATTGTTTCTCTCTCAACACCCCCCCTTCCCCGCTTTTCATTCTGAATTCTGAACACACGTGCACAATTGCAGTCAGAATCCTCAGTCCATTCCTGTCAGATATTAGCTGGAGGGAAACGTCTGTTCCTTGAAGAACACAGATGCTACAATAGAATGTGATGGGGTTTAGCTTCGCTTCTGGTTTTTGTTTTGTTTTTTAATGGAAAAAAAACCCAGTTAATTTTAAAATTGGGAAATTTTGTTTCAGATCCCCCCCCCCCGCCTTCTATAGAATAAAAAGAAAGCGTGCAATTTATTGCCAAATGCCTTCTGCAAATGTTTGGTATTTACACTATCCTGCTTTAATAGGAAAGAAATAATCCATGTATCACACATTTTCATACCTACCATTAGAAAAAGCCTCTCTTCGTATTAATTGAGTCACTGAATGATTCATTTGCCTTCTTTTCCATTTTAATTCTTTTCAATCAGTTCAGGCTTGATTGTGGTGATTTGTGGAAGAATGTGTGCAAACAAATTACAATTAAAAAGTTAAAGGCATTTTTACTATTACCGAACAGATTAATTTTATTTTTTAAATCTATTACCTTGCCTCATTTGAAACTCTAGAGTTCTTGGACAGTTGCAATGTATGCATTTTATAATTATTCTTTATGAATTGCACATTTTTAGATGTTCTGTAAATTTGAGTTTAAAAAATAAAATAAAAAGGGAAAAGAATTGATTTTAAATTTAACTTTCCTTAATTGCCAATGTTTTTCTTCTGATAGTTATATTGCATTTTTGACGTAGACTTTTGGACCAATTCAATGCATAAATATAGCAAATGATAACAATTTTGAAGAATTGGCTGCATTTGTTCGATGTTTGTGGGTGTATATGCACCTACCGAAATATGCACAAGTCATTATTCTCAGTACTGGTAATTATGTAAAAACGTACCTGAAAATATGTATAATAAATGTAACCTTCACAAATGGCTACACTTAAAACCTTGTGCTGGCATTCTTTCAGGTCCCATAAGATTATAACGCCATGTTAACGCTACCATTTGATGAGTCTGTTGTAGTGCCAGAGTCCCAGATGTGCCGAAAGTTTTCCAGAGAAAGTGAGGACCCGAAGCAAATCAAGAAACCCGAAAGCTTTGCAAAGCAGATTGCGCACCAAGGGAAAAGCATCAAACGGTCGACAGCGGAAGATACAGAGAAAGAGGAGGTGGAAGATGACCGAGAGGAGGAAGACGAAAACGGTTTGCCCAGGAGGAGGGGCCTCCGGAAAAAAAAGACCACCAAGATGAGAATCGAAAGGGTCAAATTCAGGAGACAGGAAGCCAATGCCAGAGAAAGGAACCGAATGCACGGTCTCAACGATGCGCTGGACAGCTTAAGGAAAGTGGTCCCTTGTTACTCCAAGACGCAAAAACTGTCTAAAATAGAAACTTTGAGGCTGGCTAAAAATTACATCTGGGCTCTCTCCGAAATCTTACGGATTGGCAAGAGGCCTGACCTGCTGACGTTTGTCCAGAACTTGTGCAAAGGTCTCTCTCAGCCCACCACAAACTTGGTCGCAGGATGCCTACAACTCAACGCCAGAAGTTTCTTGATGGGTCAGAGCGGGGAGGTGGCCCACCACGGCCGATCTCCCTATTCCACTTTCTATCCCCCCTACCACAGCCCAGAGCTGAGCACACCCCCAGGTCACGGGACCCTCGACAATTCCAAGACCATGAAACCCTACAATTATTGCGGTGCTTACGAGTCCTTCTACGAGAGCACTTCTCCCGAATGCTCCAGCCCCCAGTTCGAAGGTCCCTTAAGTCCTTCCCCAATTAACTATAATGGGATATTTTCCCTCAAGCAAGAAGCAGCTTTGGACTATGACAAAAACTACAATTACGGCATGCATTATTGTGCTGTGCCACCCAGGGGTCCCCTTGGGCAGAGTTCTGTGTTCAGGTTGCCTGCAGAGAGCCACTTCCCTTACGACCTACATCTGCGCAGCCAGTCTCTCACCATGCAAGACGAATTAAATGCAGTTTTTCATAATTAATGAGGGAAAGTGGAAACAAATAAATAAATAAATAAGCGGTCATTTACCTCTCTTCTCTAATTATGATAAATCTGACGCTTTTGCCCCGTCTAATCGGTGCACCTCTACTTTTTTTAAAAAAAGCAAAAAGCGTGTTTGCTAAGTTCTAAAGTGTGTCAACTATTGTGGGGCATTTAAAAAAAATATCTCTGTGTAAACAATAATAATTAAAATAATAATAGATAAATAAATGATTTTACTTATCAGTATTTAATTCCAGATGGAACTTGGTAAGCACTGTGAGATTCTGTTTTAGCCGGATTTCTTAAGATTTAATTCCCCCCTTCCTATCCTGTTTGTTCCATTTTTGCTGAGCAGTGTGTCTAAATAAAATTGTGGAGCCAAGAAAACGCACACTGTGTCTAAAAGTCTGCAACAGTGTTTTAATTGTACAGTAACTATACCAATGCATGCTACTCAGATCAGATGAGTTTAAAAAAACTGATGTATTTATAATAATTAGAAATGATATATTATGTAACGGAGAAGAGGTGATTTTAAAAAAAACAAAACTCTCCTGATTTTTTTTGTTTAAGGAAAAACTGTCGCAGGCATCATGAGACATAGTGGAGATGGTGCAGCAATATTTTAAGCTATGCAACAAAAAAGAAAGTGCATCTAAGTAAAACGAGTGGTAATCATTGATAATTATTCAGCTTAAAATTTGAAACATTTGCTGGCAGGGGCTACCTATTATTTTCGAAAGTTTTTTGTCACCGTTTTGCATCCATCATTTTACTATAAATCCCATATGGTATCTGCACTCCTTTTGTATTATTCTGCCTTCACATGTAAAGTTTGTTAGAATGTACAACTGTGTTTTTCATTACTTCTTTTAAATGCAATTAAAACATAAATGTTTTCAGTCATCACCATCAGCTATGATATAAAGTCAGCTATGTCATACTGATTCAGTATGGTCATATCGATGGACCTTGGGTGCCTTGTTATTTTTGTGCAATGTTATTATGTTCATACTATTTAGGAAGTTTGTGTGACACAGAGAGAAAAGTTTGATCCATTCAATTAAACATCCCAAGTAAGTGTGCTCAGGACTGGAACACTAAGGAGGTAAATATCACTCCAAACAGCCCATAGATAAGGTGCCATGAAAATTGAGAGCTACAGAGCTTTTGCTCTCAAACCCCATCCATGCTGAGTTTCATAAATTGCTTACAAATATTTCAGTGCAGGATTGAGATTACATCTGATTAGTTTTTGGATTAACATATTTGATATTCTTGATCTATTCTCAGTAATAATTTTTAAGACTTGATTAAAGGAAATCTGAGGATGAGGCGGGGGACGGGGGAAAACCCAGCAGTTTCTACAAAATATCCCATGGAAGTTCAGCAAACTTTCTGTCGCTTACTGACTTTTGCATCTAGTGTTCATAAAAAGCAGCAAGAGAAGAATGTGGAAAAATATTTTCCCTGATTACTGCAATTATTTTTTATACCCCGCCCATCTGGCTGGGTTTTTGTGACACTTTCAGCCTGACCCCACCAAAAAAACACACATTATCTGGACATTAGTCCTATGACTTCAGAAGAGTTTGCTTTCATATATGTGTGCTTAGGGTCACTGGCTTTATTTAGTATTCCATCTCAAACATGCCAAATCTATGGTATTAAGCAGAATTCGCAAGATCAAAAGCTAAGAGATCTAGGAAATTTTCTGGGTTTATGTATTCTGTGCTTTGTTTCTATACTATTTGACACATTGGGGGGGTATTTATGGCTGGTTCTCCATTTGGGAGAATGGTTTTCAGTGAAATTGTGTAGGGATATCCTATATTTTATCTTAGCTTGCAACCCACCAGCCAGATAGCCTAGCAGGAGCTCAATACATCTCTTTTTGCTTGGGGGGGGGGCCTTTAAAAACCGGGTAGGGGACTTATCCAACACCTGGCAGGCCTCAATGTGGGGCTGGTATGTTGCAACTTGCTTGCGGCTCACAAGTAGTACAAGACGGAGTCTGTTTATTGTTCCCCCTTAAGCCCTTGATACTATTCTTGACTGAGCCACTCAGCTCAGCACATCTTTCAAGACTGGCTCAAACACATATATGCATCAATTGCTCTCCCCACGTGCCTCCTTAACACTTCATAACTCCATGTCCTGTGTCTGAGCCACATCCGTTGCAGAAACATTGTGCTTTAGGTCACACGAAACTGTATTTCCACGATGTGGGATCTGCAGTGGCTCGGATCCCGTTGCAGTCAAGAAGTGATGAATATGCAGGTGTTAACAGGTCCTCTGTGTGAAGGGGGTGGTAGCTTAAAAACATTCCGTACTTCAGATGCATTAATAATATTTCATAGTAACACGACTGAGATCAGAGGGGGAAGCAGTTTGGTGATAGAGTTGCATGTGGCAGGTTCAATCCCCGGCAAATCTGGTGAAAAGGATATTAGGTTAGCAGATCTGAGCTGCTGCCTCTAAAGTAGGCCAATGATCTGTCTCCATATAAGGCAGGTTCAGATGTTCTGCATTTGAAAAGCTTGCTGGTTAAAATGTCAACAATCCGATGTAGCACAGTCTTCAAGTGGTAGCACTGTGTTGTTCTTGCTCTGCTGGGCGGGGGGCGGAGAGATTAAGAAAAGAGAGGAACCCCTGCCTAGCTTGTATTTATCCTGTATTTAAGTAAAGCAAACAAAAGTGAAGAATTCACTGGCCCCCCAACCCAGAAAATTGCCATGACTAGTCTCTTCTGTGGTTGAGTAATTCTTACTCCTAGACAACCTAAACGCAAATCTTGAATTCAGAATACAGTGGTACCTCGAGTTACAAACGCCTCAGGTTACAAACACTTCAGGTTATAAACTCCACTAACCTGGAAGAGTTACCTCAAGTTGAGAACTTTGCCCCAGGATGTGAACGGAAATCGTGTGCCGGCGGCGCAGCAGCAGCAAGAGGCCCCATTAGCGAAAGCACGTCTCTAGTTAAGAACAGTTTCAGGTTCAGAACGGACCTCCAGAATGAATTAAGTTCGTAACTAGAGGTACCAGTGTATATATATGTGCTTGAGCTACTAGAAGGTTGGGGAACACAGGAACCTGCCTTAAACCAGGTCAGGTTATTTGTCTGTCTAGCTCAATATTATCTATAGGATTGGAATCGGCCCTCCAGGCAGAGAGTCACACAATGTGCCACCATATCCTTTCACCTGGAGATGTCAGAGATTGAACATGAGGCTTTCTGAATGCAAAGCTCTGTGTTCCTCCCCATATATCCCACAGACACTACAAAGTACAGACCACCTTAAAAACCTTCAAGATAAAATGGATGTTCCTCCTCTTCCCCAACAGCAACTGACTTGGTGTTTGTAGCTTGCGCTGATACAGCCATGGGCATGTGTTTGCCTCATGCTCTCCCCTGATGCCTATGTTCTGCTCAGAGAACCCACAGTTATGGAATCCAGGCAGAGAGGGGAGAGAAGAGAGTTGCCAACTTTGTTGGCTCCCGGTCTCAGTTCAAAGTACAGGTACCTTTAAAACCCTACATGGCTTAGAACCCAAGAATCTGCTGGTGTGGCTTCTCCGATCTAGTCTGCCCTCTCATGATATTGACATCACAGAGTCTTCTCCAAATGCCCCCAATTTCTGAAGGATGGTAGGTGATGACTGGTGAGAGGGCCTTCAAATGGCGACACTTTTGGAATGCCCTGCCTATTCCTGAAGGCCACTCTAATGATTTTTGATAATTATTTTATACTACTTTTGGTGAACCACGTAGAGGTTGGGGGGGGGGTTTGTTTAATTAAGTGGTCTATACATTTTGATGGGATGCGGGTGGCGCTGTGGGTTAAACCATTGAGCCTAGGACTTGCCAATCAGAAGGTTGGCAGTTCGAATCCCCGCAACGGGGTGAGCTCCCGTTGCTTAGTCCCTGCTCCTGCCAACCTAGCAGTTCGAAGGCACGTCAAAGTTCAAGTAGATAAATAGGTACCGCTCCGGCAGGAAGGTAAACGGTGTTTCCATGCGCTGCTCTGGTTCGCCAGAAGTGGCTTAGTCATGCTGGCCACATGACCCAGCTGGACGCTGGCTCCCTCGACCAATAAAGCGAGATGAGCGCTGCAACCCCAGAGTCGGCCATGACTGGACCTAATAGTCAGAGGTCCCTTTAACCCTTTATACATTTTGATAAATTAAAAAAATAAAAATAAAATGTTACTGGTAGGCAAAAACGTATTTGTTTCCCCCAGCTTTTGAACCTCCTAAGCTGAGATTCTATGTTTTATTCCTCAATGCTCTCTGAGTTTAGGCTGTTGTGCTTTGCTGCTATTTCTCTGTATTCCCCTGACACACACACACACACACACACACACACACACACACACACACGTAAGCCACCTTAAGGACATCACAGTGTTGAACACACAGGATAAAATTATAGAAATAGAAAGAGCGGGTGCTGGATGGGAATGTCTTGCAATGGCCAACGCAGGATGAACACATACACTTTTTGATGCAAAGAGATGTGTGCCTTTGCACAGTTTGTCCCTAGGTCAAAGGGCTGGTGGAAGAAGTAGGCTATGTGCTGCCATGTGATCTAAAAACTGCAATTTCTTCCAAGTGGAATCCTCATATTTACAGACACAGAGATTAGCTTCCTGAAAAAATAGCTATGAGTGAATGAGAGGGCTTCCCTCCTGTCTCCAGAACAACGCGCAAAAGTAGCTGTACCAGTGGTGTGCGGTCAGTGGACTAGGGGGATGAGGCTTGTCCCCTGAATGTTCCTGGGAAATTAGAGTATTAAAGTCTGGAACTTTCCCAAAGCCCAGAAAACTTCTGCCTGGCTTAGAGATAGAGGCACAATGCTCCAATGGAATCCAAGAGCTCTTCTGCCAGCTTCCCAAAGCCCTAGCAGGGCTCCAGTGTCCTGTCAGAGGCCTGGTGCTTCCTTTCCAAAGCCTGGGAGGCATGATGCTCACACATGTGATGTCACGACCTCACGCAT